CCAATTGAGTAGAAGTATAAAAATGTCCTTCACTGAAGTTACATTTGTAAACTTTAACCACAGAGCCTCGTGGAATCTGACATGAGTCAACTTCCATGTAAACCTCAATTTCTGTTGTGATAGAGAGTTGTATTGTTTTGTCAATAGTCGCCTTGGAATAAAGAATAAAACAGAAAATGAACAACATTGTTCATTTTAAAGAGTTTATTGGAGAAATTATTAAAAGTTGTTGTTGAAGCTTTAATGAAGCCTCGGGCTGCAGGTCTTACAGAGAGCAACACAGGCAATGGTCTGTACGAGAGTGCCAATTTGCAGGCAAGTGCATGTTACATTTATAGTGTGCTGGATACATTTGTGTGTGCATACAAGAATATGAGTGCACGTTGGCCTCAGTACAATCGTCACCTCTGAGAGTATCTGGCCTAACAGGAATTCAGAAACAGGAAGTATGTGGATACACTTTTCAAGGCCTTATAGGGGCCAGAGAAACAATAATGAGTAGATTTTCCATCACTGGCTAACACTGGTTGTTTCAGTGTTTTTCCACTGACTACACGAGTTTCAGTACAAGTCAAATGGTGAATAAGAACACCAAATTATAATTTTGTCATAACAGTATCTTTGTGTGAAATTGTGTGACAGAATTGAATCATTACTACGTTTACCAAATATGTATAATATATCATTGTCCAAATGATGACATGTTTAGTCATTGTTAAGATGACTTCATGTCCTGAGAATCCAGTTGGATTAAAATCACTGACATATTTTTTAAGAGGCCATATTTTCATATAATCCAAAAACACATTTTGAGTAACATAACACACAGAGTTGACAGTTGTACCTGCAGAGAATGTAAGTTTTGTAAGTGTAAGGAGACATGTTAAGTAAAGGTACATAAACAAAAATTTTCAACAACCTGTTTTAGTTTTATTAATCTTGTTTATTGATCATTTATTGCATTTATTCCACTGTCCAATTTACTACAACCCCGCCCCTTCCAAAAAAAAAAACACGTCCTTGGGTTAAACTGTTCAAATGCCGTCCGCTGTCATCAGATTTATGACTGGATCACGCCAGATGCAACTAGAACAATGCAGCGTGACCTGTTTGTTTGTGTTGTGTTTGTTTCTCACACACTAACTGACAGAGATTAGAGATGGTGAAATACTCTTTAGCATCATTTGGCAGTATTGGCTTGATGGTTAAGGAAGCGGACTTGGGTCTGGACGGTTTCATATTTGAATCCACTAGCTGCCCAGCTACCAATGAGATGCTCTGAGCATGGCACCGTCCCCACACGCTGCTCTGTGGACGCCTTAGCTGCTCCCTGGTGATGGGTTAAATGCAATAAAATTCTGTTGTGTCACAATGACAAAGATAATTCACTTTATTTTTATTTATTATAACATTTTTAGCAGGATGCCACATTCTTGGCAGTAATAGCAAACACTATGAAATGTGCTTTATTTTACTAATATCTCTGAAAAAAGAGCAAAATGTTTGAGGAGATTGACTTGAATGGAGTTTCCCATCGGCAGAAGTAATGTATTTTTATATATCTATATATTTATTTGTCATTTCAGACCTGTTGTGGGCTTAGTTCACCTGGTCTGAGATAATTTCCTTTCACACTTATGAATTGCACTGATTTGAATCCAAGAAAACATGTTTAATATTTTTTACATAAATAAATAAATAAATAAATATATCTTTGGTATAAATGCGTGATGAAAAAACATGTGCTAAAACAATATGTTTTAACCCTAATCACATTCTGGATAGAATTAACATCATCTGAACAATAATAATAATAATAATATTGTTGCATTGCACAATTTTTACCTTTTAGTTTAATAAATCCAGTTTGCTATTCCTTAGTTTCGGCTACAGGCCAAATCCAGTTACGAATTACATATTTTTAAGTTTTTTTATTCATAAGTTTTTACGCTTTTTCTTAGCAGATACATTGGATAAATAAACATTGAAGAGATTTAAAAAAAACAGGACACCCCCTACTTATTCAGACACAGACATTGCAAAAAGTAGTATTTTATACTTACACTGTTAATATGCATTCATTCCTAATGTGTTCAAATATTACACAGGTTCCTCTTTGCATCTTCTTATTTTAAAACATTTGCAAAAATTAAAAAGGAAGATTCAACCAAGCCAAAACTTTTCTCAACTCCCTGCATCCCACCCCAGCAGTACCTCCCTGGGCCCTATAGAGGTCAGAGACCTCCTGTTAAACATTTCTGTCCTAAAATGTTTAATTTAAAAGAGGTCCAAAATTAATTTTGTTCAATTAAACTTCAAATTTTAGAAAAAACAAAAAACAAAACTGTAAGTGTCCCATGAGACAATAATTAATCATCTGGCCAAACGAGAAGCGGCTCTATTACATTTCCTAATTAAGACAGTTTGTTTTCTCAGCCTTCACAATGATTAATAGTTTTGGTCTGGCCACACATCCCCTGTGAACGGGCTCCAGTGCCCTCGGGCAGACGGGGAAGAAGGAGCTGACAAGAAAAGGGAGATTCGGGTCTGGACTCCAATCATTGTGTTGAGCAGCAGAATACAAGAACAGATGGACGGTACCGAGTACGTGGCAGACAACTCTATCACAGTCTCATCAGAACCATACAGAGATTAATGTGGGGGTCCGCCTACGTGGTCTAATAAAGTGATTAGTTCACGTTTAATCAGGAGTTCACTTGTTTTGTTCTGTACCATATTAAAATGTATTGTATTTGTGAAATCAGCATCTTAATTACAGTTTGTTAGCTTGTGTGGCTCATTATTTAAACTATTTATAAGACATTGCACATAAACCTGTTTGTGTTTTGTCAGCGGCTCAGAGAAATATTGCATTCTCAAGGTCATTACTCTACCATTAAGTTAAAAAATTACTCAAATGCATCGCACTTTTTTTTTGTCCCAATGCCATTCCTAATCGGACCCTTGTTTTTATCCTGACTAAACTACATTTTGACATACAAATGGTTGAAGGCAAAGCTATCTTGTAGCGGTGTATTGATACATACATATATATATATATATATATATTAATATTATATAACATATAATATTGATACACTGATATATTGCAATATTTTGTTTCATGATAATGTAATGATATTCTATGGCACTATATCCATTTAGCATCAACAATTAACATGCGATGATTCATGGCTTTTTTTTTTTGCTTTAATTTCTTCTCTTGTGTTTACCATCATTGTGGGTTTACTATGCTGTTTTCCAACAATTAAATTGATAAAAAAAACAAAACATCACCATGTCTATAATACTGCAGTATATCGCAACATGTCCTGATATGTATCTTTTCTTTTCTTCAAAATAAGTCTTAGAGCATAAAAATACCCTCTACCTGGTGGGAAATGCCCACCACAGCAATAGTATTTTCCATAGAAATACAATTTTAACTGGTACATGTAAACGATGGGAAGTGAGGATTTTTATTCTAATAAATATTTTATTTCTTTGTTACTGTATAGAATTGACTCCCATCGCTCATAATCGTTACTGTTTTATGTAAATCTTTTTTTTTTCCTCATGTGGTCCTTTGACAAGAGCTGGCTGCTTGTGTACATTGCTGTTTCTTTTGTATCGCTCGATTAAATCGAGTAATCACTCGATTAAAAAAATTGGTGTCAAGTAAAATTCAACTTAACATGTTTATTAATTATTATGATTTCAGAAAATTACAACCTTTTCCATTTCATGTTTTAAAAGTTGACATACGCGGATACAATACTTTTATTGGCTATCACAGTTGTAGGTTGTAAGCCTAAATGTGTTCATCAGGTGACTGGTTAATGGTATAAAAAAAAACAAAAAAAACATTGTAAGATAAGATAACTATAAACAGCTATGTTTCACAGTTACCCTTATTAAATATTCGTCTTTGATGCATGCACTATACAAAGGCAAATGACATTCAACAACAAGTGCAGAATTCAACAACAAAACACTGTTTAATGACATGAAGCCTAACTGGATGGATGAGCTGCCTGGGACTTAGACCTGATGATCATCACGGATGAATGTATGAAGCACACCATGCACTTATGAAGTGTAAATAAAGAAATGGTAAACAGTACTTGTCCATGTTTTTGTTTTTTGTATGTCTTGGATAATGTCCATTATTTGCTTCAATTGCGCAAACTTATCCAAGGTCGAAGTTAATGTACATGAGTCTCTGCTCCCTGGAGAGACAGTCAGGGAGCTGCAGTGTCCCACTGCTGTGTCCCTATGTCTCCTTACTTATACAGGTAGCAGCTCCGGAGGACTCTCTCCATAGCAGTACTTGGCTTGTGGGTTTCGGTACGTGTTCTCATGTTGAACACTCTGCAGGAGCAAAACAAAATTGTATTTCACAGATTTCCGCTCTCTTGTTATAATAATCTTTTGCTTTGCAAATCTTTGTTTTATTTAATAATACAACATGAGTCTGTGTTGCGTCTCACATTATGAACCTCAAGTCATTCCTTAATGAAACCAAACAACATTCCCTGTGTATGTCAAAATTATGATATATAATGATGACAGACAAAAGATGACAGATGATGACAACCTATTTAACATGCACTTCAAAACTTCTACTCTTTTATTAAATTGACAGAATCAAGCACTGCAGCTTGGGAGAATGGAGAATGTTTGATTCCATAGTTCAACGTACCTGTGACGAGGTTCGACACTTTGCCAGGCACAGCTCAAAATGATCCTCCACAGCAGTGAAGAGATTCTGGAAACCTTCAGCTGCACGATTCAGGAAGTGCTCCAGAAGAGGTTGCTGAAGAGGAAAAAGAAAGACACACACAAGTTTGTTTCATGAACCTCTTTGAAAATGTGGCCTGGAGACAACTAATTAACAAATTGATTAACATCCTTTATGTGACAGATTACATACCTTATCAGGTTGAAGACAGCAAGACACACAGTACTCGTAGATGCTGCAGCAGCCATTTGCCAGACAGCTTTTACAAATGTACTGCCTGGTGCTGGGAACGTTGACATTACAACAGCCGTTCACCAGTAAATCCTTCCTCTCACAGACATAACCTGTTACAAAATGGAAAGGGTTGAGCTGATATCATCAATTAAGGGCCCCAGAAATCATGTAACCATCAATGCACGGAGTCAATAATTATTTACCAAGTTCATCAGTGAGTAGCGTCTTGCCCTGGATGGAGTTTCTGCACTGAATGATCTGCCGACTGCTGTTGCCCAGATTAAAACGGACTTTCCATGGGATGCGATGATCGGAGTCTCGAACCTCCAAGAGAGTGCGGTCACGTATTGTTCTTTCCTCCTGCAGAATCCACAAGTACAGTATGTCATGACTAGTGATGGGAAGACCGACTCTTTTTATTGATTCGAATCTTTGACTCTCCAACAGTAAAATGAACGAGCTGTGAACGAATCTTGAATTAATCATTTCATTCGTTTTACAGCAGGTGGCGCTTAAGCGCCACCTGCTGTAAAACGAATGAAATGATTAGTTCTTGTTCACGACTCGTTCATTTTACTGTTGGAGAGTCAAAGATTCGAATCAATAAAAATAGTCGGTCTTCCCATCACTAGACCCGAGCTCTCTGTCACGTGACAAATGAAACGAATCTGCAAGAACGAGGCGAAAGATTAGTTCACAGCAAAAGATTAGTTCACAGAGAATGATCCGTTCATAGTGATTATTTCACAGCAAAAGATTAGTTCACAGAGAATGATTCGTTCACAGCGAAAGATTAGTTCACAGCAAAAGATTAGTTCACAGAGAATGATTCGTTCACAGCGAAAGATTAGTTCACAGAGAATGATTCGTTCACAGCGAAAGATTAGTTCACAGAGAATGATTCGTTCACAGCGAAAGATTAGTTCGCAGAGAGTGATTAGTTCGCAGGGTGTGATTAGTTCGCAGGGTGTGATTAGTTCGCAGTGAGTGATTCGTGAGTTCAATATGAACAAATATTTATTATGACTCGGTAGTCACGAGTCACGAAACTTTCATATGACTCGTGACTCCCGAGGCATATGAAAGATTCGTTCATTTTGAACGAATCACTCGCGAACGACACATCACTAGTCATGACATGTTGTTAAAGATGGCTTAGTTAAATTGAAATGGACAGAAATGAAGACGAAACATTTCTGAAAGAATAGTCTTTTTTTTATTTTCTTAAATTATTATTTCCACTAAATTTTCCTTTCCTGGTTACATTTCTTTTTGGGAACATTTGTGAATAGCACAACTCAAAACGTAAGGGTTGTTGTAATTCTAACATTTATACACTAGGGCTGCGATACTTAGTCTGTTTATGGTTGACTTTTATAGGATTTGACCATGACTTTCTGCAGCCTTGTCTGTTGAAGGTCTACGGTTTTGTGTAAAAATCAGACACTGAAGGAATCGTATCGCGACATACGCGATGCACGGTGCACCGAGAAGTACTGATGGGATGTTCGTACCTGTTTGAGTGTACTGGTGAGAAAGTAGATCAGAGACAGTCCGAAGACCACCCCCAGCACCCAGCGCTTCCTCAGTAACCGCCGCAGCACCATCATAGCATGGTTCTTTGGGGGAGATGGCAACAGTCCAAAACCTCTCCAGTTGGGAATCCAATCTCGAGTTACGTTAACTTACAATTGCGCAAAACCGCTCAAAGCCTGTTCCGTTAACTTTATATTAAGACTGCTTGCTTTCGGCAGCAATAGTTAACCCATGTCGCAGTCAGATAGACTAAATAATAGAACGAATCACAGCTGTGTAAAATGCTGCATAACAGGTCCCAGGACGTTAGCAAACATCACAAAAGCATGCATTGTTCCTCCGAGAGCTAGCTGCCACTAGCGTTAGCTTCCTGTCAGCACCAAAGAACGAATAAAAGAACGAATACATGTAAGAAGGTCGTTTACATTTCGATATAAAGTATTTCGCTGTAAATAGTAGTAAGTGAGATATTTATCATGCGAAATGTAACATCCACCGTTAGCAAGGTTCCCAACACGGATGTGGTACGGTGAAAGGGTTGACATTGATTGGTTAAGGCGAGACCACAGTGACGTCATACAGGAAGTTAACCGGAGCTGCGCCGTCGATGTAGCGCATCATCCACCAGTACAATAAAAAAAGAATACATCCGTGTGTTTTTCTAAGCACCCGGGTATAGTCGTTTTATGCAAACTTTTTTTTCTGAACTATGTCAAGAACTGAGACGGACTCCACCGAATCGATTCAGGTAGATCCCGTTCGTATCCTTGTGATGTCATTAATGACTAATTAAACAAAATCCGCATTCGGCATCCTCGTCGTTTTTACGACATCATGCAGTTTCCTTCATTAATGGCAACCAGACCACGATATTGACCTGTCGTGTCCAGCAGAAGCTTAAAATAAAATGACTACACAGCTACATGTAGTCATTCTCAACCCTAATGGCACACTGTGTAGAATTTAGCATCATCTCGTGTTTGAGTTACACGTTGATGATTTCTCATTGTATTCTTCCTGACCGAGCATACAAAAGAACACACGGTGTCCATCTTTCAGCATTTTCTGACGTGGTTAATGTAAATTAATGTGAAAAAATGCCAACGTATTAAAAGGAGAAGATGCAAGCAGGCTGTCGTTTTGAAAACAGCATTTCCTACTCTCATATGAAGTGACACAAGTGAAAGTATTAATGTAGTATTTTTGGAAGAAAAATAATGAATTTTATAGGCAAATCATTTTTGCCACCCACAATGCTAACAACAAGAAAAGTGCATTTTGATTCAACCATAATTAGTTACTATACATTGATATCACTCGATCCCTACGCAGACTGACAATAAGATGAATAAGTAGTTGATGTTGCCGCTCTTTATTTAAGGTTTGGAGCATGTGGTGATGAGCAGTGTGTCATGCAGAGGAGACACAGCAGCAACACGGATGGCATGCCCTCTGACAGGTAGAACAAGAAACCATACTGCAGACAAACAGCAAAACAAAGTTTTTTTTAAAAAACAACTTTGTTTCTGTTGCATTTTATTTTCCACAATCAGGAGCCGAAGCCAAACCCTGGGGTCAGATAGCAGCCTTGACGAGGGCGGCGTGTTTGACTGCCTTAAGCCTGATGCACCCACCTCGCCCCAGCAAATCTTCTCTGGACTCGTGGGCGTCCCTTCAGGATCCGTCTCCTCTGCCCAGTTACAGGCGGCCGGCTTAGTCCTGGGTTCTTCCCCGGATGTTTTCATCCAGATGACTGCGTCTTCCAGAGAAGAAGGAGGCCCCCATCGCTCAGAGGGAGGATCACTGCTGCCTCGACTGCCGCAGCACCACCACCATCACCACCACCATCACTTCCACCACCAGCCCCTGCAGCACAGGACTTCCTCTCTGCTGCAGCAGGCCACCACGGCAGCTGGCTCGGAGAGGCACTGCTCCAGGGACGAGTCCCAGGAAGATCCGTCCACTCCTGCTCCGGCTTTGTCTGAGATGAAGGCCGTGGTCACCTGGCTGCAGCGGGGTTTTCCCTTCATTCTGATTCTGCTGGCCAAAGTCTGCTTTCAGCATAAGCTCGGTAAACTAGCATGTGGAGGAGCAGTGTAGTGTTTTTTTAACAGTGTTTGCTCACCAGTGGAATCAAATGCTCCTCTGTTCTGCAGGTATTGCTGTCTGCGTGGGGATGGCCAGCACATTTGCCTACGCCAATTCAACATTCAAGCACCAAGTGTCACTAAGGGTAAATGATTACTGCACTGAGACTGAGGCTACATAAGTCACGTGTCAAACTCGAGGCCCGTGGAAGCTCAAAAAGCATTTAATTGCCATAAATATCAACTACAACAATGCATCTCACAATGATGAGAGATCTACTTGGTGTGTTCAAGGACAAGCAGCATCACCTCATCAACTTCACCCAGAAACCTTACACATATACTTTAGTTCTGACCTGAGATATCAGTGGTTGTTGTCTGATGTTCATAATTTACTTGAACCATAACCTGATAAATATATTTTTTAATTACAAACTTCAACATTTGTAACTTGATTAAATACAATTCAATTGCAGAAACATTTATTAATATATTATGTCATAGTTACATCTACTAAACCTTCCAGTCAGATCAGATATCAGATATGTCATCTACAGCTGATCTCATACTAGAGCTGTTGTTAACTGTTAAAGCCTTTATTGCATCCACAAGTTTCGTCACCACTGTAAAAAAAAAAACAAAAAACAAAAACAGAAAAAAACCCAATACTTATTTTTACAATAATAACATTGAATTCTCTCTATTCTTTCCTCGTCACCAGGAGAAGCGTTCTGTATTTGTTGCTCTCTGGATTTTGATTTTCCTCTCTGGAAATATTGTGTATACCTACTACACATTCAGTCAAGAGGAGCTTCAAAACAGGTAATAAATAAAAATGAACCCAGAAAAGATTATTTATGGACATTTATATATAAATGTTTAGCTTTATTTTTCATTTTTTATTTTCTGAGACTATGAAACAACAATGTTTCAAGTGATTAATTAAAAAGTAGCTGTTGATTAATCATGATCAATCCTGATTGCTTACTTACTGCCTTGTGCTTGGTGAGGCTGGTGTGACGAAAGTCTGAAGCTGAAGCCTCCGCAAATGTACGTTGTTGAAATGTCCCAATGAACATAAAAATAAAAATGTGTTGAACATTTAAAATTAATGCAACGACAGCCCTAATTTGTATCTTTTTCTGTTTCTCCATTGTTTTTTATGTGCACGTCATTTAATTTAGTGGTTAATTTTATTACTTTTTTGTTTTACTTTTGTTTCCTTTAAGGATTGTTCCTGTGCTTGTTCTTGTGAGTATCATTTGATTATTTCATATTTTATGTTTTCTTTTTTTATCATATTTCAAACGTCTGTTTGCTGTTGTTTGTTATTCATCTTTTCTTGGAGCCAAAACATTAGACCGCTCTACTGACGGTTCAATTCTTTCTCTCATTTTTTTTACAGCCTCATATTTGCCAAGCCTAACCTGAACAGCTTCGATTTCTTCGATCTGGTTTGGGCGGTGGGCATCACTGACTTTGTCCTGAAATACGTGACCATTGGTGTGAAGTGCTTCGTCCTCTTTCTGCCCAAGATTCTTCTGGCCTTCAAATCCAGGGTAGGAAGTCATTGATTTGACATTTCTTCTAGTTGACAGTGCAGATGGCTCGATTCACCTTTTTTTATGAAACCGATACTACAACATGGAGTATCTATTGATACTGATATCAATCCGATACCTTCCTTTCTCCTCTAACATGTCTTGGGCTGCCATTGTTAAGGCGACAGTGTCCCTGTTTACGGCATGTTGTGCAAAGTAGTAGTAAAGTATCGAATCAGAATTGTACTGAAGTTTTGATCCTCACATTTTGACCAATATCGGACTGATATCGGACTGATTGATCTGGAGTATCGGATCAAGTTGTCCCTAGATTACAATAGCTATTGATGAAAAAATGATTCCTGTAACTAGCAAAATATGGTTAAAATATAAATATATAAATATAATATAAAATAGATTTTTGTCATAAATTATATCTTTTTTACTTTTTTATGCATTATCATGAAATGAAGAAACTGTTACTGTAGTTAATTACAAATTAATTAATTATTATTATTAATTAATTTTGTCCATTGCAATTGTGTATTTAGCTTTAAATTTTTCTTTTTAATGTTTGGCTAATGAAATAATCGTCATGTACTTCAGGGCCTGTTGTAGCAGTGACTGGTCGTGGATAAAACGGGAAGTTAAATCACAAAGGCTTCATCTTTGAAACTTTGTTCACTGTGTGTAAAGAACAGAACGGTTCTCAGCTTTGATGAAGTGCTGTGCTGAGGAGGGAGAAAGTGCTGAAGGGTCACAGTGTGAAGCTGTTTAGTATTCAAAAGGTTTTAAATGGGTTTCCTTAGGTGATCATGTGCACGTGGGTGTTGATCTGGCCTGAGGCAAAAGAATATGTCTGGAACCGCAGACATTGAACGACGGGAATATCAATGCAGGTGAAGCCGAGGTGTTTGGTGTGTGTTTGCTTGTTAGAGAGGCAGAAGGGCAACAAAGTATGAGGATTACATTTTCCACTGATAACCAGAGCTGCTGGCCTGTCAGACGACAGCAACCATTAACTGAGCTCACTGGTCCCCGAGGAGGTTTGCAGGAGTGAGGTCATCCCTCCACGGAGCCAGACCATTACTTGTGGCGTTCACATGCTCACCGGTGTACACAAGCGTACGTGACTTAATGGCATGGGGAATCCCAGAATCCATCATCATCACCACCTCTTATGTGTTTGTCTCAGTCTATAGAGTTGACTACTGCAGTACAGCTTCCTGATTAATTAGCCGATTTGTTTATTAGTGCATTTTCAATGTTGTTGATGTGCTTAAAAAGCTCCAAGATAGCCAGGTATACGGTACAATATGATGCACATGTATTTGTAATAGCAATGCAGACATGGGAAGAAATATATACTGACGTTTTCAGTGGGTTGAATGATGAAATTGTGGAGTTTGTGGTTTCGAGTTGAAATTCCAGTTGTCTTACTACTTCCTTGTATGTCTGATGAATAATCAATTTTTGTTCTTATTGTATACTAGGGTTGGATGAAATGTGAAATTTTACAATATTTTGATGTGTTTATCTGGCTGATATATTTGTAAATCTGGTTTATTTCTAAATACATGTATGTGGCTATACATTTTACGTGACCCCATTTGAATTCCAGGCGACCCCATGTGGTGTCACAAAGGTTGAAAACAATTGTCCTAATGTTAAATTTATTTCTAGCTGTTTTGCCTTTCTCTGCACCTTTGAATAGTCCCAACTTCACCCCACATACTGAGCAACAACAGTATGAGTGCCTGGCAAGAGGCTAGCAATTTACAGAAGAGGAGGAAACTTTGATTGGTTAAAAATGTAGTCGAAAGCCAGTTCAAACTAAACGTTTAAGCAGCTGCAAGAAATTGTAAAAAGTAAATCATTAAAATGAAATTAAAAAAAAAAATCAATATATTTATTATATTTTTGACTGTATTAACAGAAATACTTTGAGTTATATATTTTTTACCCATTATTTTCAATGTCTCACACACATGTAAATATATACACACAAACATATACATAGAAATATATATGCACATGTATATACATGTACATAAATACATATACGTATATACAGTATGTACATATATGTACAATATCTGCATACAAAACGTGATTCATCAAATTTCAACTCAATTGTAAAAAAGAAGACACTGTACTATGTGCTATGAACAGGGACGAGTGGAAAAATCCACCGAGGAGAGTTGGGAAGTTGTTCACTCCAGCACGTCTCACTTTGGTGTTTTGTCGAACGTCTTGGCTTCAGTCCAAACTTGTAATTTGACAGGTTTTGCGAAGGCGTGATGGGCACCGTGGGGTGGCAGCATGCAGGGGACAATAAGGGAGATGAATTAGCCGCTACTTTGTAGCTCTTTGCCCACAGTCATCCATCTTTGTCGGCTGCCATCCAGGAACTCATTACGCCAGCAGAGATGGCCAAGGGGGAATCAAGTTTCCCTTCATTTTGTCTTCCTGTGTTCTTAACTATCCCAAACCACTTAACACACTCTGTGGCAGTGTCTTGTCTTGTGATTATGGATGGGAGGTGAGTGTAGGGTTCTTAGCAGGCAGCGAGTGAACCTCGTCGGGCTGGATTGAATGTGGGCACTGGGAAGCAGGTGGAAAGAGCTGCTGCCAGATTCTCTGCACAGTGGGTAAATTATCTGCACTCCTGTGAAATTGTGGAGAGCTGGACGTGGCCATGTTTGTGCCGCAGGCGTGCTGTTTTAAGTTTTTATTACCTCACTGCTCTTGACTAGATAGAAAAGTTCCCCCAGGCTGCACTACTGTTTTTGTTGTTTCTTGGACAAGCGGCTTTAAGAAGAAACACTCATTGTTTAAAGTGTGATTCATTGAGTTTGGATGGTTTCAGAGAAGTGTGAAAACTTCAGTGATAATGAACTTAATTGCAATCTGAATATGCAGAGAACGTTGAATCCAAGAGTTTGTCTGCTTTGTTTAATATCCAGGGTAAATATTACCTGCTGATCGAAGACCTCAGTCAGCTGTTTAGAGCCTTGGTGCCCATCCAGCTCTGGTACAAGTACATCATGGGAGAAGACCCTTCAAACAGTTACTTCCTTGGAGCTACTCTCATAATTATCTACAGCCTCTGCAAGGTAAGCCCAGCGCCGTATTCAGAATGTAATTTTAATTTTTAATATTTTTTATGGAGTAAGCATTGCCCTACAGGACTGGTTCCAAACCTTTTTTGCACCGAAGGCCGTTTGGCCAGTATCAGCCGTTACTGTGGAGTGGTAATACCTCAACATTGTTGAACGATCATTACATTTTCTAGATAAAATAACCTGTAGTTTTGAAACATTGCCAGATTATCTTCAAACGAAAAAAAGTAAATGACTGGATTCTTTTTGAATGAAGTCAAGTATTAAAACTGAGGTACATTCATTGAGGCCCAGTACTAAAAGACTTACAGACCAGCAGCGGCCCCCCGGGCCACGGATTGGGCATCCCTTCCCTACAGCAATGGTACCAAAGTGAGATAAGATAACGTTTGAGGCCCCTGATCTCTGCGACCAACGAAATTGCCTTCCCCCTATTTTGAGCACCAGAGCTGAAGTGACTGTTTATTAGACACAAAATATTAAATGTAAAAAAACAGCAGTAAAGTTTAAGAGCTTGCTTAAATTTGTAGCAATTGATCAACTATATATTTTTTTTATGTACAGTATGTGTATAAATCTGACTGACATGGAGAGTAGATTATGTTTGAGATGATCTAAACCAGTGTTTCCCAAACTCTTTTTCTGGGGACCCATATTTCAATGCGAGACCCAGTCTTTGGAAAACAATGATCCAAACAACCCTTTTTTTGTAATAAGCCGTCAAAATGACACAGTTGGATTCAGCAAGGTCGGTGACTTGGAAATTGCGAGGAGTGTCTAAATAAAGGAACTCTTCTTCTCTGGATTATTAGTATTTCTCTGTGGTAGTGAGTCAGGTCTTAGCCGCCCATATAAAGTGCGGAAAACTCAAATAATGAAACTAAATAGAACTTCTCTAAATATATTTCTCTGAGTGATGCAATAATGAGTTATCAGCACAGCTGTGTTGTCAATTTAAGGGATTTGATCATGAGAGTACAACTAGCTCCCGGCTGTTTTATCACAACAGTCACTCAGTGAACGTAGGTGTTGGTGGTGGCTCCACACAGCTGACTGTCAAAGTGTGGAAACCTTTGTGATGAAGTTTTTCCCAGGATCATTTTGTTTTCTGCCTATGTGTCAATGCCTTGTGTACATACAGCGGATGAGTTCCTGTTTATTCAGTGTCTGATTCACTGTCCTTTGCGGCAGTGATTCCCACACACTTTTTCTGCGGTCACCTTCCACTGGCCTGCTCCCACGTTGACACAATCCTGTCTCCACTGAACTTTGGCCAAAAGAACTGATTCATACAACAGTGTTATTCTTGTTATTCTAAATGAAAGGAAATAAAACAAACCAGTGCAGTTGACTCACGGTGGGACAACAACAATATCAGATAACACAACAATATTGGAATTCACTTACTGTCATTTTTCAGTTTGCTTCAGGAAGGCGTGCTCAGCCCGAACAAGCGACATGAGCCCGCTTTCCAGTAGGCCCACCACCCGCAGGAAGGCCCACAAGGGGTCGGTGCTTTGTGATTTGGGTGGCCAATTTCTGGACAACCCCTCTGGCTATGGGGACTTGGAATGTCACCTCGCTGGGGGGATAAGAGCCTTAGCTTGTGCGAGAGGTTGAGCGATACCGACTAGATACGTATAGTCGGGCTCACCTCCACACACAGTCTGGGCTCTGGGACCCAACTCCTTCTACTCTGGAGTTGCTCGCGGTGAGAGGCGGCGTGCTGGCGTGGGCTTGCCAGCTTGCCAGTCGTGTGTTCGAGTTCTCCCCACTGACCGAGAGGGTCGCTTCCCTGCGCCTTCGGGTCAGGGACAGGTGTCTCACTGTTGTTTCAGCCTACCGGCCGAAAAGCAGTGCAGAATACCCGGCCTTCTTGCAGACACTGAGAGGAGTACTGGACAGTGCTCCTCCCGGGGATTCCATCGTCCTGTTGGGGGACTTCAACGCCCACGTGGGCAACGACAGCGATACCTGGAGGGGCGTGATTGGGAAGAATGACCTCCCTTATCTAAATCCCAGTGGTGTTTTGTTATTGGACTTCTGTGCTAGTCACAGTTTGTCCATAACAAACACCATGTTCAAGCATAAGGGTGTCCATCAGTGCACTTGGCACCAGGACACCCTAGGCCAGAGGTCAATGATCGACTTTGTAGTTGTGTCATCTGACATCCAGGCCGTATGTATTGGACACTAGGGTGAAGAGAGGGGCTTAGCTGTCAAGTGATCACCACCTGGTGGTGAGTTGGCTCCGCTTACGGGGGGCAAAGCTGGATAGACCTGGCAGACCCAAACGTATTGTGAGGGTCTGCTGTGAACGTCTGGTGGAATCCCCGGTGAGGGGGGCCTTCAACTCCCCCCTCCCGGA